CGCAGCAGCTTTCGGTCATAATACCTCCCTAGGCCATATAAGCTGTTTCTACTAGGCTTCGAAACTACTACGTGGTACGTTTTAGGCAGGCCTTAAAACCCTCAAAACCTCCGGCCTCAGTACCTCACAATCCTCCGCAGCAGCTTTCGCAGACGTCCTACTTGCTTTGGCCATGGTACTTCCCTAGGCCCCATAAGCTATTTCTATTGGACTTCGAAATTACCACGTGTCACATTTTAGGCAGGCCTTAAAACCTCAAAACCTCCGCAACAACTTTCCAAGGCCCTTAAAACCCTCAAAATCTCTGCAGCAGCTTTCGAAGGGTTCAGAACCTCACAACCCTACGATGAACAAATTCGGAAATCCCTGATATCAATACATTCGATTCATTGTCCCACAACCATCCCCCTTGCAATTCGGCGTCCGACCCTGACCCCTGAATCTTTAAGGGACCACTGGTAGCCTCTTAAAAAATGCGAACCAGGGCAAATTTCAGCCTTAAAGAATCTAACCCCAATGAACCAAGATTACAACACAGTAGCCAGGTATGTCCCTTTAAAAAATTGGAGACCCAAATTGCATACCAAGGGGTACCCCTTTAAAGAATTGGATACCCAAGTTGAAGTCATGCATGAAATGTTCTGAATATTTTTAAGATTTTAGATAGAAATTTTATTTTTCAACATATTTTGACAAAAAAAATCGAAAAAAAAAACCTCAAAATTTCATTCCAATACCTTAAAAATGACCCACTAAATGTTTTAAACCTCATTGTGGATTAAATTTATGGATAAATATTTTATTTTTCAATATATTTTAATAAAAAAAATCGAAAAAAAAAAATCAAAATTCCATTCCAATACCTTGAGAATGACCCACTGAATGTTTTAAACCTCATTGTGAATTAAATTTATGGATAAAAATCTCATTTTTCAACATATTTTAATAAAAAAAAATCGGAAAAAAAAAAAAATCAAAATTTCATTCCAATACCTTGAAAATAACCCACTGAATATTATAAACCTCATTGTAAACATAATTTATTGATAAAAATTATTTTTTAAAATTTATAAAAGTAACATTTCTCATTTTGCATTATTTTCCCGTTGTGTTTTCCCGCCTTTGGGTCTCCCCTTGGGGTCTCCCCGTTGTATTTTCCCCGTTGTATCTCCCCGTTTTAGGGTCGAAGTTCTCGGGCAGGGCTTTCCACCATTTACATACATTCACTATAACGTTTATAAGCATCTCCAGAGGCGGCAGACATCTAACACACAATTCCAAACATACCAAAAAACAAGTTCCTAAAATCTTCCAAGGAAAACCTCTTAAAGAATAGGAGACCGTCAAACAAAAAAAATTCCTTAAAAAAATAGAACTAATTTTTTTTGCCGGCCAAGTATATCCCTTAAAAAATATAGTTTTTTAAAGATATCATATCCTAAATTTTTTAAGCTAAATTCCCAGGAAGATCCACAACCTATATTTACACTACCTAGTCCTTCAAAAGTTCCATAATATTTGTATGTTTGGACTCTTGTACGTGTAGGCCGTTTTTACCGTTCCCCGCCGCTCCGCCCTTGAAAGGGGATCGGCGACACCTGGGCGTTAGCCCATTTATATACATCACAGACCTGTCTGTGCCAGTGGCACTTGCATGCACAGCCCCTATAACTCTTGCAGTGGTGACACTTATAAATGTAAATGTTACAGGCTTCAATTATCTCAGTATCCGGGATGTATTTCCCACACGGCGGTTCTGTATCTTGGGTTTTGTTAAAAGGAGCCGATATACCCTATTATTCGAGGAAAGGAATTATCTGCACATCTGAGCTAGCTTAATTCTGAACCCACCGCAGCACTGATCTCACTTCTTTGAAGCTTTTGCTTGGCATCTTGAAATTCCCTTTGCAAAATAAAAGCATATATAACCTTTTTCTGCGTTGTAGCAAGCCAAAAGCTGCAGAATCAAGGGTATAAATCTCGTATGTGTAAGCCTGCAATAGCTGAAACAATAAAGAAATATCTGGCCACCATGGGGAATTACAAAGGAATGCAACATTCTCCAAAATTGCAATCTTTGGCTGCATTGATTCTATTGTTTGCAAGCAGATTGGCAGAATTGTGGCTGTTATATTCTGTCATAATTATTCTGTCAGAAAATAGTAGAAACATGTGGAACAAATGCCATCATAATGTCATGAAACAAGTGCCATATAGTGTTATCCGCATTTAGTACTTTGTATTTTGTTTCAAATACATTTTATATTCCCAGCATTGCACCGCCTTGCACATATCCACGCCCCCAAGCCAAGTACACCCGCTTTACTACTTAATCCACATAACTTTAGGGACGCACAAAAGGATAATTGAGCGATAAATAGCTAAGATTAGGTTGTTAAGGCGCTTAGAAAATATATATTCAGCTATAGTAGTACAGGGGGGTCAATATACAATATAAAGGCATGGGTATAAATTATTTAAATATTAAAAAATATAAATTAATATTATATAAATATATAAAATCAAAAATAATAATTTTATTTCAAATTTAAATTAAATAATTATATTTTAATATTTATATTTTTTTAAATTATTATTTAATATTAGAGTCGGTTCGTTGTTTCCAACAGTGGGGTAATACGATACGAGCAAGAATCGATATATTTAAGATATAATTTAAAATAGGTAGGATCCGAAATAATATTATTAAATCGAAACGAAAACGCTTATTTTGTTTCCTGCAGGAGTGGTTATTCGTTATATATTCCAATTTCTAAGTTTGCGGTAGGCTAGCAGAATAAGGCACAAGCCGGCAAGAACGAAGCTAAAAAGTGCAGTCCCAAAACATATAGAATTCCACAAAATTATATGTCCGTGCAGCTACTTTGACTCACAAACCGGGACTCTCGAAGATACAACGAATCATAACCCATGAGAGCTTGAGTATAGGAGAGCTTGAGTATAGGGGAAAAAACTTCCAATAATGGATATGTCTGGACACTATTACGGGAACAAAACCATATGTGCAAAGTTAAGATTTCAAGGCTAGAATATCTAGGAGGTCAGGCCGGGCCTTGCTGACAGCCGCAACCGTGAGAAAGAAAAAACAAATATAATTATCAATTCCAAACTACAACATGAAAACGCATGCGTCTTCTTTCTTTTGACTCTTTCTTTTGTCTGATCTTCTTTCTGTTTCTTTCTTCTTCCTTTCTCTTCTCTGACTCTTCCCACCTCTGCTTTTCCATCTGTCCATATTGTCGGAAGTTTGACTCCGAAACTTCTCTCGATTATACATTTGCATATATGTATTGAACTGTATTGATTTTTATTTTTCGCATCAATGATCCTGGCATGTCAACACAATTGCGGCGGATCATAGGCTGAACTGAACAATGCGACTGATATCTCTGATTACTTGGTAGCGCCGTCCTCCTCTTCATCTTCCTGATCATCATCTGAGTCTTCCACATCCTCCGGGCACCACAGTCGGGTTCCGAGGAACCCAGCTGGGGAGTTGAGGAAAATCTGTCCACAGATTTGGAGATATGCTCTAAAGTGGTACATGTTATTAACCGGATGTGAACATTACTTTGGTTGACTGTATCATCTGTATATATCTGTATCCAGATCTGTGGTGAAATGGCTAGCTATCTTTTTGCTTTGATTAGTTTGATCGAGGATCCCATGTTTGTTGGCTAAATCAGCCTTTTTTGACCTGATTAATTGAATTACAGAGTTTTTGTGGTTTGAAGACAATCTTTGTTTTTTTGGCTTAATTTACAAAGTATTACACTACAACCATCATGTTATCATGTCTTGCTACATTTATCTATGATTCACCCCACTTAAATCTTGAATACTATAAACAGGCAGGCATGGAATTGTATGTATTTGTACATATAGATATATAGCCGGAACAAACAGCTCCTTTCGAACTGGTTTGAAGTATTGTCCTGTATTTTCGCCATGACAAGAGCTAAAATCGAAACTTATTCAGCAATTACTCACCAAGGTTTGGTTCATAGTTCATACCATTCAGCAGTCCATTTGAGCCATGAAAGATACTCCTATCTCATCACATCGTATTATTTAGTCCTGAGCCAGTTCATGATGGTTCAAAACCATGTATATACCTATCAACCATCATTTATCACTCATATAATATGTAATATCTGTATATTTTCATATGTTTGCTACAGTACTTAAAACATCTTAAAACTATCTTTGCAGGTGATTTTTTTTCTGGTTATTTAACATAGCTATGGAAGCTATGGCCCACAAAAAGATCCATTTCGTCCCCAACGGCCCCGCAACGGGGGCCCGCCTCAGAGCGTCGTCCAGCCGCCGCGGAGCTTAAAGATGTTGCCGCCTTGGCGGCTGATCCCTCTGGCAAAGGTGGCATGGGAAATGCCCGAATCAACATGGAGGTTTGAGTGGGAAAATCCTCGTTTCAATGAAGATATTAGATCTGGTTGGTGGTTGAGCCACCCCTCTGAAAAATATGAATTCATCAGTTGGGATGATGACATTCCCAATATATATGTATTATATATACATATATATATGGAAAAACACTGTTCATAACCACCAACCAGTTATTGGATTTAAAAACCGACAGCCACACAACTGGATCATAACTCTGGGATACTCTGGGGGCCCTTCTTCTTCACCATGCCAAGTGGATCCATATAGGGGTTGGAAGATTACTTTCCCGTTAGGATAAAAGGTTTGCAGAGTCCATGTTAGTTGAGAGGGACGGTATAAGCCATCAAACATGAGCTCTTTGAAAGGCACACCGCCATCTAGCCAACTTGCTTGACCGCAAAACTTGACGCAACTGAAAAATAGCACCTATGCCTATGACCTATAACAATGGTGATGACTGGGGGATGTTTATGGCATTGTTTTAACCACATTACAGTAGATGAATACACATTTTATGGAAGAACTACCATGGCTATCCAAAGGCAAGCAAGGGCTCCCTCCTTGGAGTTTTTGGGACTAAAGGATCAGCACTTGGTTCTCATACATGTTCAATTGACTCGACTCATGCCAAAATCCAATTTCAACATCGCAAACATGAATCAAATTGCTGATTTCCACCGATCATTGATTATCCACAACTATTGAAGTTTTTACAGTATCATGTTGGCACCAAACCCTAGGTTCGCCCATGCCCAAACAACACACCCAAAGAATATTAATACTTGTCACCTGAGGATGAATGAAAACAGTGGCTATGCACAGCGATTTTGACTTTCAGCATGTAGGGCTTTAGGGTTTTAGGGTTTTGAGATTCCGGATGATTCAGGGTTTTACGTTCTAATTATCGTTTTGGAAAGTTAACAATTCACTAGCCCTACAAAGGGATTTTAACATGTCAAAGGACTTCCGCTCAATCTGTGGCGCAGGCTGTTCCCTTTTGGACCTCAGCCCAAACTGTGCATCTGGCCGCCAAGGACAGGAAACCATCGCAAGCGTCCAAGTCCTGAATCGGGGCAGTGGATATCTGGGGAAAACTTGGTCTTCCTACACCCCGGAAAGGATGGTGTGAATGCAAAATTGGCATTCAAGATTTTCACACAAAAAAAGTTGACCCACGACAAAAGGAGATCTTCCATGGGATTTAAGTATTGTCACAATTGTCATTGCCACCATCTGGTTGCTAGATGAGCTAAAAAAAGGGCAATGTTTCGGGTAAACATCGCCCATGGCACGTCTTCGCGCGATAAACCCGCCTCCTTTGCTTGTAAGGCACAGCGTAACGCCGCAGAGGATCCCGGGTGCTGCAAAATCTCGCTGAGACTTTGCGCCACAGCCTGGAGCGCAGAGCCGGAGGGGTCGTATTACTCAATAGTTTGAAGGAAAGTCGGCTAGAAAACCATGGTTTTTGCTGGGTTTATGTCTTTTTGGCAGGCTTTCCTTTCATCCAAGTCTGGGAATTACCATCCAGAACACTGAGGTAGCAGTTAGAGTAACCCTTGGGTTTGCCCTAGGAAAATCCTGCTACAATATGCTACAGGTGGTGCATTTTCATGCATTTTCCATGTCTATCGTAGCTTACTGGATGGTATGTCTCTTGTGTTGAGCGGAACAAGCTGGAGTGATAAAAATGGGTATTAGCGGTTATTAGCGTATTAGCATGTAGTAGACTATGTTATCAATGTTATCCTTATACATGCATATTATATATATATATATGTATATTATATTATATTATATTATATTATAATATATTATATTATATTATATTATATTCTATTATATTCTATTATATTATATTATATTATATTAAATATATACACATACAATCTACATATTTGATGACATATCTATATTGGTATATATTTGTTGGAATGAGGGGATTTCATCTGTTGAACCCCTGCGGGAATGTACTGGATCTGCTCCTGCGCGAGTCCTACAAGACCTTTTATTCTTTGGGGAATAAAATTACAGACATGTAACCGTAGTTATATGTAATTACATAATATGTATATATATATATTATATATTATATCAGTATACACATATCAAGAAACGTATCGAAGGAGTTCAAAAGATGGAACAATTGGCCAATACCTTTTGGGTCCACTTGAGAGCCTGGCGAGTGACAGTCCCTGACAGCCTCTGCCAATCTGGACGCTGCTTGCTGATCACTGGAAGGGATACCTCACTGCGATCACCACGTGCGCTGAGTTGTGGAATGCTGCGGAGATTCGAAAGCACAAGGGAACTCTGTCGAATCAAAGTGGTCCATCAAAGGGAACATCCTTGTGCTCAATATTCTTGCAAACCTATCTAGTAGCGACTTCGGGATGATGGACTATTTCGTCTGTCGCCCCTTTGGAGAAAGATCATGGTCCAGAGTCCAGTACTTGGTGGTTTCAGTTGGTAAGTGGCTTATAACCCCAGTATACTCCAGTTATCAGTATCATGAGTACGGTATAGTACCGTGGGCCCAGTGACAACTGGGTAATCGCGTACCAACTGGAGTGATTCATTCACCCCTTCACCTCCCACATGCGACTTGCGCCTTGTGCCAAGTCTCCCAAGACCTTGTAGCACCAAAGGTTGCGTTCATGGGAAAACATGTTGATTGCTTTCCTTGCTGGTGCTTAGTAGGGAATGAGGGAATGATCCAGAATTCACTAGTAATAATCATCCCATTCCCCCATTCCCATCAATTCCCTACTAAGCACCAGTAAGTGAATGGGCAACGATGCCATAGCCATCCGTGGCCACTGTCTAGCCATTAGTTTCGAAGGCACCTGGCTCCTTTTTGGCTCCTTTGGTTGAAAACAAAGATAAATGACACTAATTACATCTAATTACTAACAACTAGTAACTAGTACATATCACCAGTTTTGCGTTGGTACAGAATGCATAATGGCCCGCTCTATCTTGTTGCTGGTGAATCCACATTAAATCCATATGCGTTTCTTGGGTATTTGAAATCGCCAAGTCGCCAACTAGCATAGCTCATATCCCATACTATCTTACAGCCGTAGTGGATAACCACCAGTGAAACATCCACTACGATCTGCGTTCAACCCCCAACCTAGAATTTGAACCTTTTGGCTTTTATTTATTCAAACAACATTGCCTAAAGATTTCTCGGAGTTTCCCATGAATCACGATTATCTTTACATGGTCTATCTTGGACATTTAGCTGGTTGGTACATGTGTATAGGTATGTATATTATATATATATATATCTATATCTCTATATATATAGTTATACTGTATGTGATCTGACACACATCTATGTGTACATACGTGTATATATATATACGACTATATATATGTATATATATATATTTATTAGTGTCAATGAAACGTGCAAAATATTTAAGTACTCAAAAACTCATCCACCAGCCCTAACACCACAAAAAAACATCCACCAGCCCGAAAAAACATGCCTAAACATATCTGAACATGCCTATCCCATCCAGTTGGTTTCCCATCCCGCCGGGCATTTCCCACACGGCCGATCTGCGCCAGCGCATTGGCCGTCGCGGCACGCAGCTGTGGGTTGGGATGTTGGGCCTGGGAAACGGCACCCGATGGTACCCGGAGGTACCCCAAAATGACTGGTTATAGTACGGTTATAGCATGTTATAGCCTTATAGCTGGTTAATGGATGCTTATTCTCTCAAATATGATTGTAAATGATAGTAATCAGTTCTGACCCATCCCCAGAAAAGTTCCAAACCGGGCAAAGGATATAGACACATGGGGGAAGATCGTCTATACCATCCTGGAAATACTGTTCGATCTTTCCAAGGGTTTCTATATAATCTGGTTGGTGGTTTCAACCCCTCTGAAAAATATTAGTCAGTTAGGATTATTATTCCCAATATATGGAAAAAAAAATGTTCCAAACCACCAACCAGTAATATATCCATAAAACATCTTGAAACATGGGAAGTCGTTGGTTGATTACTGTACTGCGGGGTCAAGATGTTTAGCAGCACCAGCCTTGTCGTTCATCGAACTCGAGGGATTCACATCCAAGGTGCCCGCATTTGTTGGGCTTGTGATTTTTGGGGATTTTTTACCCAACAAATGAGGATTCAACTAGCCCCATACTGGACCGGAGTATGGATGGGGTCTGGGGTGGACCGGGTGTAAGGACCACCAACAAAAACTCAATCTTGGTAGTGGATTGATGCAACCTCATATTCAACACGTACCACAATATCCATCAATATCCCATAATACCAATTGGTAGACTAGATCATCGAATTCAAGGGTCAATCATTTGATGCATAGCCAGTTGGGGTTGAATCTGGGATGTGCACTGTGTCACCATCTTTGAGAAGTGGAGAACCACGGAAAGCCAGGAAACGCTAGACCTAAATCAGAAAAATGAATACAAAATGATACCAACCATTGTTCGCAAGTCACCCAGTCTAGGCTTGTCTTACAAAAAAAAACTGGGATGTACACTCAAGATGCCTAAAGTTCAAACGGGTTGGGTGAGGGTGTGAAACTCTGATCAATGGTCAATGATACCCGCCTGCCCATAGCAGAAGATTCAAGTAACTAAAAAAACTATCCTTCCAGCTGGTTTACCCACACAATATCACATTAGCAAATATTAGCAACCATGTTGAATTCTTTATCTCATGTCCACTCTGAATTAGTGGTGGTTTATATCTGTGTATCATTGCCGTATGATTATCCCTGATGCTGCTGTTACCTTCCGAAACAAGGCACCTGAGCACACAAAGCAGGCAACGCGCTAGGCAGCTGTGGTGCGAACCTGCGTGGGAAATTCAACGTGGTCTAACTTTGACGGCCGGAAATTTCACATTCCTCGGTCACTTCCAATGGGGGTACCCAAATAGCATGTTTTTATTCATGGAAAATCATGAACATCCCATCTTAAAATGGATGACTGGGGGTACTGCCGAAAAGGAAACCTCCCATGTATCATGATATCATCATCACAAATATCAATGGCAAACCATCCAAACTTTTTTTGTGACTAACTTTACTGAGTAACTCATCATGTTCGAAGCCAGTTATTGGCCTCTTACTCCACCATTTTGATTCACATGGCTTCTCAACCACTTTCGAGTCCTGCCCCTGGGAAGGCCAAGTTTTGGAGCTCATCCATGGGATTTGGAGGCTACCTTTTTTTCCAACCCATATAATTTCTGTATTTTCAACACAATTGCACTAAATTTATTCGTTTCTTTTCTGGGACAACTACTCTTAAACATAACTCAGGGACTCAAGGATCTTGAGGTTTCCTTTTCCAAACTCCAGTTTTCCATCACCACCTTTCCCTGCTGCATCTTTTCACCATCGCGAAACCGCCGATCATTGCAGCGTCTCCAATGGTGGCAGTGAAGGGCTGGCAGGTGGAGTCAGTGGAGGTTTTTCTGAAATCAAAGGATCTGCCATCTGCGCTCCTCGCAGATGACATGGCTGGAGGTTGCCCCGTCAAGGGATTCCACATCTTGAACCATAATATGGATCCGCTCTGTGCAGAACTTCTGTATATATTGGTTCTGTGAGACGTGGTATACCGTAATAATCTACTACACCTTGGATGTGCATCCACGTCACTAAATTCTTAAACAATAATATCGTTATACCGTTATACCTAGATATTCCATGTGGTACTTATTTCTGCCGCTCAAACATATCAACCAAAATCACCGTGCTCCACCCACACGGCCACGCAAGGGCAGGTATATGGGATATCCTCCATTTTTTTAAAAAAATATAGTTTTATGATGTTTTATTACAGGTCTTGAAACTACTTGTTCACCCCCTCAGAAACCATCTGGCCAAATTACTTTAATTCTTACCTCGTCTCCCTCGTGTCTTAATTTGTTCCCCATGATTACTGTCCTCGTTCGTTAATTTGCAGGTGCAAATTAAGGCTTGACCTCGTTAATTCGAAGGAAGAAAGTAGCTTGCGGGCCTTCTTTCCAGGGTCCAACCCCAAGGGAAAAAAACTTTTCAGCTTCCGAAAAGTTTTTTTCCGCGATCCACGGTCTCTTGCAGGGATTTTTAAATCTGAGTCTGATCGGTCTTTGCGCTTCTTGCGCTTGGGTGGTGACATCTCTGACATTATCGCAGAGATGCAATGCTCTTCTGGAGCAAACTCTGAATCCTACTGCTTCTGCAGCCGTCAACCCACGAAGCGGGCCTCTAGCGATAGAAAATAAAACTTTTTGGGGCCTGAAAAGTTTTTTTTTCCTTCCTTGCCTGCTGACCGGCCTCTGGCGATAGAAAATAAAACTTTTTGGGGCCTGAAAAGTTTTTTTTCCTTCCTTGCCTGCTGACCGACCTCTGGCGATAGAAAATAAAACTTTTTGGGGCCTGAAAAGTTTTTTTCCTTCCTTGCCTGCTGACCGGCCTCTGGCGATAGAAAATAAAACTTTTTGGGGCCTGAAAAGTTTTTTTTCCTTCCTTGCCTGCTGACCGGCCTCTGGCGATAGAAAATAAAACTTTTTGGGGCCTGAAAAGTTTTTTTTCCTTCCTTGCCTGCTGACCGGCCTCTGGCGATAGAAAATAAAACTTTTTGGGGCCTGAAAAGTTTTTTTTCCTTCCTTGCCTGCTGACCGGCCTCTGGCGATAGAAAATAAAACTTTTTGGGGCCTGAAAAGTTTTTTTTCCTTCCTTGCCTGCTGACCGGCCTCTGGCGATAGAAAATAAAACTTTTTGGGGCCTGAAAAGTTTTTTTTCCTTCCTTGCCTGCTGACCGGCCTCTGGCGATAGAAAATAAAACTTTTTGGGGCCTGAAAAGTTTTTTTTTCCTTCCTTGCCTGCTGACCGGCCTCTGGCGATAGAAAATAAAACTTTTTGGGGCCTGAAAAGTTTTTTTTCCTTCCTTGCCTGCTGACCGGCCTCTGGCGATAGAAAATAAAACTTTTTGGGGCCTGAAAAGTTTTTTTTTCCTTCCTTGCCTGCTGACCGGCCTCTGGCGATAGAAAATAAAACTTTTTGGGGCCTGAAAAGTTTTTTTTCCTTCCTTGCCTGCTGACCGGCCTCTGGCGATAGAAAATAAAACTTTTTGGGGCCTGAAAAGTTTTTTTTCCTTCCTTGCCTGCTGACCGGCCTCTGGCGATAGAAAATAAAACTTTTTGGGGCCTGAAAAGTTTTTTTTCCTTCCTTGCCTGCTGACCGGCCTCTGGCGATAGAAAATAAAACTTTTTGGGGCCTGAAAAGTTTTTTTCCTTCCTTGCCTGCTGACCGGCCTCTGGCGATAGAAAATAAAACGTTTTGGGGCCTGAAAAGTTTTTTTTTCCTTCCTTGCCTGCTGACCGGCCTCTGGCCCCCAAAAAAGTTTTTCTAGCCAAGCCCAAGCATGCAACAGAACCAATGCAAGGCTACCTCGTCGAGGTCCGCTAATTCTGATGAGCAAATTAAGGGCTGACCTCGCTAATTCCTGCAACCTGCCTCGTTGCCTCGGCTGTCCTCGCTATAATTTGTGCAGAACCATGGTGGATGTAGGAACGAAATCAATTATTTGGGTCCATTTAGAATTTAAGATTTATCTGGTTGGTGGTATACCAACCCCTCTGAAAAATATGAGTTCGTCAGTTGGGATGATTTTCCATTCCCAAGATATGGAAAGTCATAATCCAGTAATGTTCCAGTCACCACCAACCAGATATAGATTTTACCCCCATTAATCAGGTATTAATCACTATTAATCACTATTAACCACTATTAGCCATTAGTTATATACCATATCCCTATAGACCATATCCCTATGACTGGGGTGTTGAATATGAATGGGGAATGAGATTCACCACAACCATCCCAGGTGGCGACGCCCACCTTGGTCTGGCGCACTGGCTGCCTTGCTCTTCCCTTCCAACAAGCGTTCGACGTGCCTCGTTCGAGAAAACCGCTGCGGAGAAGCATGGTGTGCTAGGGTTAAACATACAAAAGATACGCAAAGACCGTGATCTGAAGATTGGGATCATCCTGGAAATTACATAGACTACCCAGCTGGAACTCACAATATCTCACATCCAACATGGAGCTCCCTTGCTTCCAGCAGATGCGATGGGCTACTATGATCCACCTCTTTGTCAGTCTTTCTTGTAGATTACTATATAATACTATATACTGTATATATATATATAGCGACGGACAATCACTTAGAACGCATTTGTTTTTCCAAAATGTTATTGTTGCACTTAGAACGTCAAAAAATCGCATCACTTAGAACGTAGGAAAATTTATCGCTTAGAACGTAAAACCATCACTTAGAACGTAGGGAGGCCAATTCAACACTTAGAACGTAAAACCAACACTTGGAACGTGCTAAGTGATTGTCCGTCGCTATAATCAACACTTAGAACGTGCTAAGTGATTGTCCGTCGCTATAATTATGAACAATTAACATATGATATGTATATACATACATTATAAATATAAATATATATATATATATATATTATATAAATACTACTACTATCCAAGTACCCACCGTTTCAAATCAACTGTGATGGTTCCCTTCCATGCACAACTGTGAGTGTTGTGGTTTGGACAAAGCCCTTGGAACTCTATATATACTGCACGTATGCAATTGTAAACAATTGTCAGCATATGTATGCACACGTATATACATAGCTTCTTGAAGTGCGTCACCACTACATGTCTATTTGGTCCCTGCGTGGCTTCGCTGAGTGCGGCAACATGATTTCACAAGCCTTTCCACTATCATCATTGACCCAGACACGTTCTAAGTGTTAAATTCCCCGGTACGTTCTAAGTGATGAATCTTGATATTTGGACGTTCTAAGTGTACCTCTTAGAACGTAGAGAATTCATCACTTAGAACGTCGCTGACGGCAGAATATTCAGTTTTTTTCCAAAATACGTTCTAAGTGATTGTCCGTCGCTATAGATATATACACCGCTAGACTTAAACCATCAATAAACATCAATAAACAACATCATATGTGCCATGGTCAAAACATGGGATATGGGGTCATTCTTCCCATATGAAAATGAATTTACTTTTGATGGACTGATGGCCATACCCCAATATGGGACAACAACTCATGTTCCGACCATCTCAGATATTGATACCAACGGTAGGTAATTTATTCCAAGCTGCTGCAACTGAAATACCAATTCTTACTGTTACTTTCTTTTGGTCAAGGCGCAGGTTGCAACTTACCTCGGTAAATTATACTACAGCGATTCACAAACCATAATTAATGCTATTTTGGAATAGTTACTAACCACTATTGCACTAGCTGTTTTGGGATAAAAAAACAATCTGCACCAATTGGTAGATGGTTTATCCCGTTGTAATCTCATCATTGACAGTATTTCATAGGTTAGGTACCAATAGTTACCAACTGGTGCACGATTTCTTCATATTTCTTCCATCCACTGTATTTTTGTAGAACCTGAAATCCGTTTTTTAACGCCACGCCGACGCCAAGATGCTGAGGATAAGCCAAGAGGTTTGGATTCGCCCGCTGCTCTTCATCCAACTCCTGATATAACATGGCTCTGAAGATGGGATGGAACATTGGGATGTAGCTACTACCCTCTGGTAAATTAACATAGACCCTGGCAGATTGGGGTTTGGAAGATTAATTTCCATTAAAACTAGGCTATTTTCAGGGTCTAACTGTTAATTTACCAGAGCGTAAAACATGGCCTAAAACATGGTGAAACATGCTACTCGGTATGGAAAACGATACCTTTTTCCGCTGGGAGCTCTCAGAAAATGGGTGAAAATCCTAAAAAAACGCTAGAGGTTTCAACAGGCTTCAA